TTGCTTCTGTTAATATGGTGAATTACATTTATAGATTTGCAGTATGTTGAACCATCCCTGCATCCCTGGGCTGAAGCCCACTTGGTTGTGATGGATTATTTTCTTGACAAGCACCTGGATTTGATTGGCTAGGATTTTGTTGAGAATTTTTGCATCTATATTCGTAAGGGATATTGGTCTGTAGTTTTCTTTTTTTGTTGAATCCTTTCCTGGTTTTGGTATCAAGGTTATGTTCGCTTCATAAAATGTGTTGGGGAGAATTCCATCCTTCTCTATGTTGTGGAATAATTTCTTCAGGATAGGCACCAGTTCTTCTTTGTAGGTGTGGTAAAATTTGGGTGTGAAACCATCTGGTCCAGAACTCTTCTTTTTTGGAAGGATTTTTATTGCTGTTTCAATTTTAGTACTTGATATTGGTCTGTTCAGGAATTCTATTTCTTCCTGCTTGAGCCTAGGGAGGCTGTGTGTTTCTAAGAAATTGTCCATTTCCTCCACATTTTCCAGTTTGTGTGCATAGAGGTTTTTGTAGTATTCATAAATTATATTTTGTATCTCTGTGGCATCAGTTGTAATTTCTCCTTTATTGTTCCTGATGGAGCTTATTAGAGATTTTTCTTTTCTGCTTTTCATTAGTGTAGCCAATGGTGTGTCAATTTTGTTTATTTTTTCAAAGAACCAACATTTTGTTTTATTAATCTTCCATATAGTTTCCCTGTTGTCAATTTCGTTTAGTTCTGATTTGATCTTAATGATTTCACTTCTTCTCCTGGGTTTGGGGTTGGTCTGTTCTTCTTTTTCCAGCTCTTTGAGACGATTCATTAGGTTGTCTATTTGTGATCTTTTCGACTTTTGGATATAGGCATTTATGGAAATAAACTTTCTTCTCAGGACTGCTTTAGCTGTGTCCCACAGGTTTTGGTAACTTGTGTCACCTTTGTCTTTTAGTTCAAAGAATCTTTTGATTTCCATCTTGATTTCCTCATTTATGAAGTGATCATTCAGCAGAAGGTTGTTTAGTTTCCATGACTTTGTGTAGAAATAAGAACTCCCATTAGGGTTGATTTTTACATTTATTCCATTGTGGTCTGAAAAGATACATGGTATAATTTCTATTTTTTAAAATTGTTTGAGACGTGCTTTGTGTCCTAGGATATGGTCAATCTTAGAGGATGACCCATGAGCTGATGAGAAGAACGTATATTCAGTGGTTTTGGGGTAGAATGTCCTGTAAATGTCATTCAGGCCCCTTTGTTGTTCTAGAGTTCTGTTTAAGTCCATTATTTCTTTGTTGATTTTCTGTTTGGATGATCTGTCCTGTGCTGGCTAAGAGTAGATCTTAAGTGTTCTCACCACACATACAAAAAAGGTAACAAGTAAGGTGATGGATATGTTAATTAGCTTGATTGTGGTAATCATTTCTCAATTTATATTAAAACATCATGCAGTATACCTTAAATATGTAGAATTTTTATCCATCAATCATACCTCACTAAAACTGGGCAAAAAATAGGGGAAACTGGGTGGGGAGGTATACAGGGGCACTGTGCTATCTTTGCAACTTTTCTGTATATCTAGAACTATTCTAAAAAAGGTTATTTAAATATAAAAATCCTTTTATAATATAAGATAGTGTCTGGTACATATTAAACATCCCATGAGGCCGGGCGTGGTGTCTCACGCCTATAATCCTAGCACTCTGGGAGGCCGAGGTGGGCGGATAGCTCAAGGTCAGGAGTTCAAAACCAGCATGAGCAAAGAGCAAGACCCCTTCTCTACTAATAATAGAAAGAAATTAGCTGGACAACTAAAAATATATATAGAAAAAATTAGCCGGGTATGGTGATGCATGCCTATAGTTCCAGCTGCTCGGGAGGGTGAGGCAGAAGGATTGCTTGAGCCCAGGAGTTTGAGGTTGCTGTGAGCTAGGCTGACGCCACGGCACTCTAGCCCAGGCATCACAGCGAGACTCTGTATCAAAAAAATAAATAAATAAAAATCCCATGAATGCTATATTTAGAATTATATATTATTTTTAATGCCATTGCATATAGATGTTTTTGTAGAAATGAACAGATTAGATGCAGCCAATAGAGGGCAGTGTTGAGTCATAGAAAGAGTTTTACAATTTCTACCTACGTTGAAGATGGACTTAACCATTTTTCTTACTTTTTAACCATAGGCTTCTGTTTATTCATCATCCCTCTTTTAGAAAATGTCAAATAAAATTTACGCCTCTTCTGTTATTTTGATTAGTTAGATATCTTGTTTTAATTTATTTTCGTGTAATTTTGGCTCCACAAAGATCTATTAGGGAAGAATGATCAGCAGTTTTCCCCATCGTGTTAGCATCAATGAAGATTTGTGAGTTGTGAGGGAACCAGGGAAGCAATATGTGGCACACATACGTGTCATTTGTGAGTTCTTACATGATGGAGACAGAATTATAGAGCTGTCTATAACCATTTATAACTAGAGCTGTCTAGTTTTCCTTTGGAAAAACTAAAAGCAGTTTTAGATTGATGAAGATGCTCGTAAGATAAAGAGGGGTTTTGACCTTTTACAGGTTGAGACTGTCTGCTCTGTGGTGGTTTGCTGGGGTGGAGGAAGGGGAAGCAACTATTGCTCATGCTTCTGGAGCAAATTTCTGCAGTAATCAGAATAGCAACTTACGATTTTAATTTTAAAATGATCACTCCATAGGTAACCTCATGAGATTGACATTTGATTTGTAAGAGGCTCCCGGGGTCGGGAGTTGCAGAGAGCTACTCAAGTGCATCAGAGCCGTATGAATGTTAATTTGCAAAATGCTCACCTTGGACCTAGGGGCACCTGAAGACAATTGTTCAAGCTTTGGTGGGCTCAGAAATTCCAGAACACATCATTCTGTCATTAAATGGATTAAATTTTCTCTGCTGAGGGCTCCAGTCACACTAGTTGTGAATCTAGTATAAACATTAAAAAATAGTTGTCATTTGGATGACAGTGTGTTCCACTTAGCAGCATCCTATAGATTTCTTATTTTTTTGCTCAAAAAATAAATCTGTTAAAAGCTCATCCATTGAATTGGGATCTATGAGTCTTTTAATAGGATTTTTGAAAGGGAGTGGAAAATTTATAGCTCCTTATAAATAGCCTGACTTAAAAGTTAAGGTCAATGGTGTTTTGTTCAGCTTTTCCATCAAAGTTAAACCCATGGGCAGGGATCTGTTTCATTCTCTTCTAATAATGCCAAGTGCCAAAAATTCTCTGTCTCAGGTACAGTGTTCTCTTAATTTAGTGCTGGTGAACAGAGTTCCATTTACCATGTAGGTATTAAATAACTATTATGATTTCAGATATAGTTTGGTCCTTGAGATGGTGACATGATTGGTCCCCTAACCAGGTCCTTGATTCAGTGTTTCTCATCTCAGGGAAAGGTATCACCTTATCCCAGTGGTGCAAGTCACAGTCCCAGGAGTCATCCTTGACACCACTCTTTTCCTCATCCTTACCCATAATGGATGCAGCACCAGTCCTATCAATTTTACTTCTGAAATCTTTCTTGAAACCATCCACTTCTCTCTTCATGGCCACCGCTCCAATCCAAGCCCTCATATCTGCTTAGAATGCTGAAGAAGCTGCCTCACCTCAGCCGTTGCGATCTTCCAAAGCACACATCTCTGAGACCTTCAGTGATTTCCCATAAGATAACAACCAAAGTTACTTTCATGGTTGATAAGGCCATCCAAGGTCTGGTCCCTGTGTGTCCGTCCAGCCTCGCCTTGAAACGTCCTCCTCCTTGCTCCCTGCGCTCCAGCCTCGGAGCCTCCTGTGCGCCCCGCAGTCTCAGCACACGGGATTTCTCCTGCGAGACAGTCTCCCTGCTCTCGTGTCTCCTCACCTTTTGCTCATCCTTTATAAACCAGCTCGAGTGCTGTTTCCTCATGAATGACTTCCCTGATCTCCTGGTCTAAAAAGTTTCCTTTCTTTTTTTTTCTTTTTAAGACACTCTGTTGTCTCACTCTGTTGTCCTGGCTACAGTGCCATGGCGTCAGCCTAGCTCACAGCAACCTCAAACTCCTGGCTCAAGCGATCCTCCTGCCTCAGCCTCCCAAGTAGCTGGGACTACAGGCACGTGCCACTATGCCCAGATAATTTTTTCTATATATTTTTAGTTGGCTAATTAATTTCTTTCTATTTTTAGTAGAGACGGGATCTCGCTCTTGCTCAGGCTGATTTTGAACTCCTGATCTTGAGCAATCCTCCCCGCCTCAGCCTCCCAGAGTGCTAGGATTATAGGCGTGAGTCACCTCGCCCTGCCAACTTTCCTTTCTTATGTCCTCATAGACTCTTGCTCCTTTACTTCATTGTGCTTGCATACATTTATAGTCTGTCTGCCTTGTTGTTTCCTGAGTACTACCGTATTTCCCCGAAAATAAGACCTACCCATAAAATAAGCCCTAGCAGGATTTCTAAACATTTGTGCAATATAAGCCCTACCAGGAAAATAAGACCTAGTGATGGGCGTGGCTACGCAGTGTATCTGCACAACCCATGCATTTCGTTGCTGAGCGGTAAAGATGAGCAGCCCTTCTCATCTGCCCCATGAGAGCTCTATGGCTTGACATGAGAGATTGGGGCCAATGGTTCTAAAGGAAATAGAGTTGCAAGGAAGTCAGGATGGAATTCAGGGTTTGGAGAGTTATGATGATGTTCCAGAAGAAGACGACTTAACTACGTTTGAATAAATGTAGATTGTTATACTGTACTTAAAAAAATAACACATGCCTGAAAATAAGCCCTAGGGTGTCTTCTTGAGGAAAAATAAATATAAGACCCTGTCTTATTTTCAGGGAAACGTGGTAGTACGGTATGCCTCCCCTACCAGAACATAAGCTCTGCAAGCAGGGATCATGCCCAAGTGTGCTCACCAGCAAATGCCCAGCACTTGGCACAGTGCTTGGAAAAAGTAGTTGCATTTGTTGAAAGAATAAATGGCTATTTATTTATTGAATATTTAGGTGGAGGATGAAGAACCCACTGGATATATTCGATTCGAAAAATTTCTTCCAGTGATGACTGAAATACTACTACAAAGGAGGTAACTAAGTAAATGCATTTTTTTTTTTTTTTTAAATTTTGAGACAGTCTTGCTGTGTCGTCCAGGCTAGAGTGCCGTGGCATCAGCCTGGCTTACGGCAACCTCACACTCCTGGGCTCAAGGGAGCCTCCTGCTCCAGTCTCCCGACTACAGGTGCAAGCCATCATGCCAGCCTAATTTTTTCTATTTTTAGTAGAGACAGGGTCTCTTGCTGAGGCTAGTCTTGAACTCCTGATCTCATCCTCTTGCCTCAGCCTCCCAGAGTGCTAGGATTACAGTTGTGAGCCACCATGCCTGGCCAATAAATGCAATTATTAAGACAAAGTAATAATCAAGATTACATTAATTTCAAAACATTGGGCTTTTCACTTTGTATATTATATTTAACCAATAAATCTTAGGGTAGCTTCCTTCTAACTTTTCAGTATACTTCTGAACTACCAGGTGGCATGTGCTTAGAAATACAACCACATTATTATTAATCCAAGCAAAGCATGATTAAAGGGCAGATAAGCTACAAATATCATAAATCAATTCTTATTCTGTTTTGAATTATCAATGATAAATAAGAATCCTAATTATTTTTCTAGCAAAAGTATAGCCTCAGTTTACCATAGTTGGTTTATTGTAGAGGTTTTGTGCCCAGATAAATTGATTTCCAAAAAGCTTGTAGACAGCATTAAACATGTCAGTGATTTTGCGCTAAGTATCTCCTGTAGGGGTGTGGTACTTTCAACATTCATGTCTAGAAATCCAAAAAGATTTCAGTGAGGGAAGTGTTATCACCCCATTATGTTAGCAACTTTTATTTTGTTTTAGGTGGTCATTTATTATGTAAAGACTGAGGTAAATACTATGGCATTTACTCATTTTATTGCATGATTATAGATACAGACCAGTTCCAGAAGATATCCTCCTTCGAGCTTTTGAAGTATGTAAGCTCCAGATTATATATATATATTTATGTGAAAAATTCATCATGTAGAACTTATTCACCAAACAAAAAATATAGTATCTATCTTTTCTTTCCCCTTAGGTTTTAGATTCAACTAAACGTGGGTTTCTTACTAAGGAAGAACTGGTCAAGTATATGACTGAAGAAGGTAAGAGTGATTTATTACTTACAACAGTGACTTATGTAAAGGAATTAATAATTTTTAATAATTGTGCAAAACTTAAAGAGGATACTTTAAAATCAGTCATTCTGGTTCAAAAGAGTTATTTACTCTTCGTATTCTTTTTTTTTTTTTTTTTGAGACAGAGTCTCACTTTGTTGCCCAGACTAGAGTGAGTGCCGTGGCGTCAGCCTGGCTCACAGCAACCTCAATCTCCGGGGCTCAGCGATCCTACTTCCTCAGCCTCCCGAGTAGCTGGGACTACAGGAATGCGCCACCATGCCCGGCTAATTTTTTTTTTTTGTATATATATTTTTAGTTGGTCAATTAATTTATTTCTATTTTTGGTAGAGACAGTGTCTCGCTTAGGCTGGTTTCGAACTCCTGACCTTGAGCAATCCGCCTGCCTCGGCCTCCCAAAGTGCTAGGATTACAGGCGTGAGCCACCACGCCCGGCCCGTATTCTTTTTTTGTTTCAGCCACCCATGTGGATGAAACTCTTCCTATTATTTTGGTTTGGGGATGGTTTCTGTTTTGTGGGAGTTGAGAAGACAATGGGTAAAGTAAGGGGAGAGGGATTTTGCTTCATAGGGTTTTGTAAAGTGTAAGGATGACTTCTATAAACTGCAGTCATTCCATTCAAGGTGTCTCCAGAATAAAAGGTACGCAACCTGGAAAACATGAACTATCAGTCACCATAAATTAATGTCTGTTACTAGATTGAACATTTCCATTGGAGTATATAAAAATTCCTTTTTTAGAAAAATTCCTTTTTAAAGAGTTTTCCAGTTGGTGAAGTTACAGATAAAACAGCCTCAATTGAATATGAAGTCATACAAAAAATTTTTATATTAATGGAACCATATATATTTGCTGTGAACATGGAATATACACACATGCACACGCATAGTACCTGCACACTTGTATTTCCTTTAGGAATTCTCTCTGCTTAGGCTGATGTTTAAATTTGTTTTCCCTGAAGGTCAGTAGCCTGGTGGGTAGTCTCTTGAAACCATCCTCATACTGGTCACTGTTCCTCCTCCCATACAACATTAGAGTTCTGCCTCCTTTCTTCATTTCACTGGCTTACAAATTAAGTCCTGAAGGATTCAGAGTCACTGAACACTTGAGACAGAATTTAAGAGCGAGTAGTTTTGAGTAGGGATGACTAAGACTGCATCTACATGCATAACTGGTTTGACCATTTTTACTTGATCCACCATTAGATGAGAATACAGGTAGTGAGAGTAAGAATGACATGACAATCAGAGCTGCCTCCCAAGAACTCTTAAGCCATTGTTAAAACTATCTTAGGGATTAATGTTGATGGGAATGTTATGACTTTCAAAGCATCAGCCTCTTAATCCTAAGGATTAATTTAACTTTAAAGGAAGTAAATCCAAGGTTATATTAAGCAACATGAATTTTGTCAAAATGGCCAAAACAGTTCAATTTCATTAATATTGTGTACCTACTGTATGTTTAGCATTTAGTAAGTATAGTAAGGTATAATGATACTGAAATCTGCTTCTCCCTCAAGGATGTTACAATCTTTTTGGGGAAATAAAACTTATTTATAAAACAATTCACAGTAGAAGACAATAAAAAAATAAATATCAGAAGATCAATGCAGTCTGGACCATCCTGGAAAGCTTGGTCTGGGAAGACTTAGAGAAAATATGTTTCTTAACATGGTGGAATTTACATGGCGAGTTGTTCTGGGCAGGGGTGAAATCTAATGCATTATATTACTCTCACACATAGTAGATCTCAACAAATGTTTGTCGAATTAAGTGATGAATGAATTGATGAAGGAAGACTAGGTGAAGGAGCTGCTGAAAGGGAGGCATTATAGATGGGTAAAACAGTATGAACAAAAACTGGGAGGTAGGAATGAGCCTGATATTTTAGAAGCCTGTGAGAAGACAGGCCCAGCTCATCCAGAGGGTAATGCCGGCAAACAGTAGGAAATTAATTTAGATAGATTTACTGGGACTAAATTGTGGAAGCTTGGGCTCAGGACTTTGGAATTCATCTTATGGGCAATGGAGAAGTGCCGTAGGATTTTGAGCAGATGAGTCACAAGGTGCAAGAGTGGTTGTGGGAAGGCTGTTCTGGTGCTGGTAGGTTTGCTAGATGAGGGAGAAAGAGGTTAGACAAGGGAGACCTCTTAGAAGGCTATTTCAGCATTTTGAAGGTATGCTAATAAGGACAATGGAAATGGAAAGAAAGGATTGATATAGTGGGACTGTCTACATCAGGATCCATGGGTTATGATGGGTAACAAAGTGCTGGGGACAAAGATGGGAGCTGAGTCAAAAGTCACAAGGCTTTGACTTGGATGGCAGGAGTTATAGTAATGGTACTGCCTAAAATGGGGAAATGAGGAATAGACTGCAATGTATACAGAGATGATACAGTCATGTGGTTGCTTGGAGGTGCTGTGTGATAATTTCCAAAAAGGTATATTTACAGAGTTAAAGTATTAATACTTAAAGATCAACTATTGGGTATCTCAGTGGACTAAGCATAGAACAATTATTTTCAGATAAGAATATACATGGTTTCAATCATTGAACAAATATGACTAAATGTCTTCCATATTATATGAACTGGTATGTTTGATAGTGATATATAAGATGTAAAGTACTATAGAATTATTTAATATAACAGACCCATCAGCTAAGTGTAATTGTAGTTGACTAGTCTAGTTAAATAGTCTGGTAAGGCCAAGGTGGGAGGATTGCTTGAGCTCAGGAGTTCGAGACCAGCCTGAGCAAGAGCTTGACCCATCTCTACTATAAATAGAAAGAAATTAGCCAAGCAACTAAAAATAGAAAAAATTAGCCAGGTGTGGTGACGCGTGCCTGTAGTACGAGCTTCTCAGGAAGCTGAGGCAGGAGGATGGCTTGAGCCCAGGAGTTTGAGGTTGCTGTAAGGTAGGCTGATGCCACAGTACTCTAGCCCAGGCAACAAAGTGAGACTCTGTCTCAAAAATAAAAAAGGCTGGTAAGAATTGGTGCTTTGAGATTCTCAGAATTCCACAAAGTGTTTTTGAATATATCTATGCTTTATAACAATATGGATTAAAGTTACTTGCACAGTCTTTTCACAGTCTCTACAGAGCATCAGACACATTAATCAGTTTGAGAATATGCATTCTAAATGCCCAGATGTCATATGATAAACATAAATCACACTGAGTCAAGTTCCTACAAGATAGAAGTCCACATGTGTCTAGGAATATGTATTGCATCAGATAGTATTTAGCAACAGGAAGAGCTCAAAATTTTTAAAATTATTTATGTATTTATTTAGACAGAGTCTCACTCTGTTGCCCTGGCTAGAGTGCCATGGCATTAGCCTAGCTCAGAACAACTTCAAACTCCTGGGCTCAAGCCCATCCTCTTGCCTCAGCCTCGCAAGTAGCTGGGACTACAGATGCGGGCCACCATGCCTGGCTAATTTTTTTTTTCTATCTGGCTAATATTTTCTATTTTTAGTAGAGACAGGGTCTTGCTGTTACTCACGCTTCTCCTAAACTGCTGAGCTCAAACAATCCTCCTGCTTTGGTCTCCCAGAGTGGTAGGAGTACAGGTATGAGCCACTGTGCCTGGCACTCAAAAATATTTTTTTTTTGTTGTTGTTGTTGCCCTGGCTAGACTGAGTGCTGTGGCGTCAGCCTAGCTAACAGCAACCTCAACCTCCTGGGCTCAAGCGATACTTCTGCCTCAGCCTCCCAAGTAGCTGGGACTACAGGCATGCGCCACCATGCCTGGCTAATTTTTTCTA